ATCCCCCCCCCCCCCGCCAATAAGGTAGCCCTAACTTTGGGAAGCCGCCATTTTTTTAGCAGCCTTTGCCACCAAAGCTTTCAAAGTGTCAAACTGCCGAGCTCAGACCTGGGTAGGGAGCACCCGCAGTCCCCTTCAGTAGATAGAATATGGGGTTTTGTAGGGGTGTTTATGGGGATAATGGAAAGGAAAATGGAAAATGACAACTACTGTATAATGGGTTATATAAGGGTTATATAGCGTAGGGTTTATAGTCCCTCTTGAGTAGATAGAATATGGAGTATATGGAGATCTTATTATAGTATACCCACAGCCATATTCCATCTACTTAAGGGGGACTATAGCCTAAGCTGTAACCAGGTTAGTTGTAGTCCTTCAGAAGTATTGCTGTTGATAGCACAAGTGCTTCATGATACATTTGGCTAGCTTCAGACGTTGGAGTTAGGTGACGATTTCAACCAGAGCCATGCGTTTACCACTTTTCCATTCAATCTGCAGAGACTGACCTTGAGTTAGCAATGCCAGCACCTGGAAGTTGCCTCTTTTGCCCTAAACCTGGCGATTTGAATTTCCCATGTGCTGTTGGCCTGTGATACCCTAAATCCCGAAACCTGTGTATGAGTGCATAATGTATATGTCGTATATATATATCTATGTATATACACATATGTACACGCATGCGCCAACATATGAATTCCCATCTATCCGTGCATATCCCTACACATCTCTGTTCCCCCCCTGAACAGACCTTTCACGCCCTTGCTGCAGCTGAGTTGGGGATACTATGGTACCCAATGTAGAGAAAATTCTAACCTCCCTTTGGATAGAGTATTATATTTAGAGAGTATAAGTATAATGGTCTTGCGTTTAACCACCAAAGACGTCGTCGCAGCTGGGGGGGCCTTACTAGGGTTAGTAGGGAACACGGAAGAAGGGAATGGTTTATGCAGGGTTTCTACTGAGATTAGATAAAGTATTATATTATATTCCCCTATTCCCTACTAACTTTAAATAACCCCTTAACCCTAAACTATGTTTTCTTATTCCCTACCCAGGAATTTGCTACAGCTGGCCCACCAGGTCTGAACCTGCCGCGCCTGCGCAGGCCCGGCCCCAGGTTTAACCAAGCTCAAATGAAGGGCTCCCCAGGGTTTAGGGTTTAGTTTAGGATTTAGGGTTTAGGGTTACGTTTCGTATTGTTTTTGGGGGGCGGGGAGGTGGTTGTAGGATTTCTATGTATAGATTCTATAGGGTATATAGGTGTACATGTGTGTAAGTTTCAGGCTTCAGGTTTTGAACGTTCCATGAGCCTTCTATCTATTATATATGTATATGCATCTAGAGCTGTACATATATATATATATAACAGATATATACAGACAAACAGACATACATGCATACATGCATGCATGCATGCATGCATACAGGGGACCGCTTTTTTGAGAACGTCCGAATGGTACACTCGAAGCCCGCAAGGGTGGCAGTGGCAGCTGTGAAGGTTTAGGATTTGGGTTTAGGGTTCAAGGTAGGGGTAACGGGGCAGAGCGGAAAATGCCAACCTTTGCACATCTTAGGCCCAGATTGACCCCAAATTGGAACACATTTCAGGCAAAATGACAGTCTCGGATTCGCCAGGGGTCCCGTAAATGTTGTGGGACTCTGAAGATCCCTAAAACGTATGCTTCCCATCCTGTGGATGGACGCGAGCGTGAGAAGCCAAAAGTGTCCATGTACTCACCGCGTTGTATGCCCCGAAGGACAGAGCCAATATATACCCTATAACCCCTATTTAAGTTCTGCATAGTAGTCCTATATAAGTTCTGCATAGTAGTTTCTATGTTCTTCTCCGTTATCCCTATATAACCCCAATCTACTGTATATAGCACCAAGCGTAGGAACCTGGAAACAAAAGAAAAAACCCAAAACTCAGCCTCAAGAATGCACCCCGCCCGTCCAAGCTGACATTGACCACCAGTTGATCACCTTTTACGAGTACTGATGTAAGGCTGGATGATAGTTTTCATGTGGTTCTTGGGCGCAAACCTTGATAAGGGGCATTGAAAGCCATGTTCGCACAAATGTCTCCTCGACCTTTTCGGCTTAGCTGACGCTTGAGTCCCCATTCCCAAGGTCATTGTCGAGACTGTTTTGCTGATGGAGCTTTTCGAAGTTGAGTCTGACTGTTGGTCTTATAGCGTCTATAAGAGTCTCCACCTTGGAATTTGGGTAGCAGGATGGGTTAAGGGGTTTATAGGGTTTAGGACAGGTTTATTCTTTTGAGATAGGGTTCCCGCGTGCACTGTGATCGTTGGAGACAATTTTTCGAGGACCGACCAATTTTGGGACAGCCCAAGCTTGAAACATACATGATTCCTTCGGCAAATCCTTGACCCCCAACCCGCTCCCCTAGCACCGCAACCCCAAACCCTGAGCTTCCATAGTAACCATCATAGTAGCGACGCAGCAGCACGACACAGAGCTTCGGAGCTCTTTTTGGGGGTGCCATGGCGGCCTTCAGCCCCCCTTCACGCGTTTCGAGTCGCACAGGCACATGGCTCTGGGAACTTCTCGATTGAGGGGTCAAAAGTGCTAAGAGTTGTTTCAGGGCTTCAGGGTTTAGGGTTTAGGCTTTATGGTTGAGGGTGTAGGGTTTAGGGTTAAGGGTGTAGGGTTAAGGGTGTAGGGTTTAGGGTTTAGGGTTGAGGAGTGAATGGGCATGCTCTCCCAGACGTCCTACGTATGTTTGGCGCTGCGCAGAGTGCAGGACTTGGTGTTCAGGCTTTACAGGGTTTAGGCTTGTTAAGTTGAGCGATTCATGCCGATCTACGAACGTGCAAGGACCTAAACCCCAAACCCCTACCTTATCCTTCGGTTGATCATGCCCGAGGGATATAGGTACCCATTGGGTAATGTCAGGGCAATATTAGGGTTATGTTGGGGTTATATTGGGATAGTGGAAAATAGAATGGAAACTACTATTTAGGGTTTAGGGTTAAGTGTTTTTGATTGAGACATGTGTTCCCGCTGTGGAGAACATGCCCCTCAAGTAACAAGGAATCAGAGAATTGGTCCCTTTCAGGCAAACCTTCTTTTGAAACCGTGCCATGTTTGGATGTTGACAAAAATTTAGAGCCCCACGCCCTTGAACCCTAAACCCTTAAACACCGAAACCCTCAACCGCTAAACCCTGAGGTCCGTAGATGCTATTTGAGCTACAGTCTAAACTCCTAGTATCCCCCTTATAACCCCTAGAATACTCCCCTATATAAGGAGTTTAGACAATGGCTCATTTGAGTCAAGGTTGCAACGAGGCCCTTTTCAGGATTTCAGTTTTGCTGGCGCCTGCTAAAACGCAGTTTCCGAGAATTGGGGGGTTCCGCGTGGCAGTCTTCATCATAAGGACTATTCGTTCAGGAAACATGTCGGAGACCCTCGTTTTGGCAAGCCAGACGTTATGAAGCGTACTGAACATAGTCCCTTTCGTGTCATTTCTAGCATCCGCTTAGCCAAGCTTTGCAAACATCATGTTGGTTGTAGCAGATCCTTCAAGATCAGTTCCAACCTCGACCCTCCTCCTACCCTCTATTAGGGCCTAAGTACCCGCTATTAGGGACCATATATCCCCAATTACGTAAGAGTACAAGGAGGGTCCTGGAAAACAAGGGTTATTTGTACCAGGGTTGCGGGCATAATTGCTTTATTTGAGACTCCGCTATTGGAACTTTGCGTGGCTTTCCCTCATCTACACGTAATCGCTTTCCCTTCAAAACCTCCCCCACAACCTGCATCAGCTAGTTTCCACTGCAACCTACGTAAATGTGGCATACTTAAGAGAAGAACCAATCAATATGTCGGGGGTTCGAAATTAGGGGTCCTTTTCTGGGGCCCCTGCTACGTACTTAGGATCATCACGTTTTGGGGTAATCAAGAAGGACGGCCCATGTTAAGAAATAGACATACTGCTCATCCTCCTGACATGGCCTCACTTTGGTGTTTTTACCCAGGAAGTTCAAAGCAGCCCTACAGAACAACCCTGAGCATAAGCGCCCATAAGTCCCAACCTGCTAAGGCGCAGATGAGCGTATGTGTGAGAAGGGCTGCCAGCGCCCGGCGTCTGGGTCAATGTCTAGGGGCTCATGCTAGCTTATGCGATGTTAGACCCCCTTCTGCTCGTGATTTCAGGCTAGTTGCAGAAGATGGTAAAACATGCAATGCTGCCATACATGTTTTTTCATAGCAACAATATTCCTGCACTCACACCCAGCCTTTCATAAATCCTAAACGTTACGCTCTCAACAAGATCCCGAATCATCCTAAGCGCTAAGGCGTTTGCCGCCTACTCCACGTGCTGCACGCATTGCCAGGGTCCGGAAGGGCCGCATGTGACTTCGCGATAAACCTTTTAATAGTAGTTTCCATTTTCTTTTCCATTATCACAATATAACCCTAATAGAACCCCAATATAACCCTAATATAACAGAAGTGTTTTGGGTCAAGAAGCTAGCAGCTTTGCAGAATTTGTTGAAAGATCCCTTTTTTTCGGGGTCCAACGAATGTTACAATGGGGTCTGGATTGTCCTGGAGGTGTGAATAGGGGGCACCCAGTTTTCAGAAATTCGCACTACATCGAACCCTCGCTGTGGTTTCAGCGCGATTGCGGATGTTTTTTTTTGCTGCTCCCAAAAAAGGGGTCGAACATGACAGAAAACGTTTCTCAACTTGGAGACGATGTTGGTTTGTTCGTTCGTTCGTTCGGGAAGATGTGCGCTTTCCTGTGTTGCTTGCGTATTTTGAGTGGGGCGTTTTCATTTTTGCTCCTCGGCCACGCGCCCGAACCACCCCGACAAGGAGGCATCGACCACGTGAGCTTTGAGCATGATGGAGCATTCGGGGGGCTTAAGTATGCCACTGCGCAACATCCCGTTGATCTGTTGAGAATCACGCTCCTGCAAAGCGTTCCTGAAAGCAAGACTAGCCCTGGAAGCCCAATGCGGTATACTTCGCATGCAAGCTAAAGGGCCACTTTCGAACCCGTTATGGGCAGCGACAGAATCATCTAAGATTGCTAAGACCACCGCGAGACACACAAAATTGATCATGCACGCTCGTCTACAAGAATTGAATAGGGTTAACAACTGCGCCGCTTCCTCAAACATATCGAGCGCAGCCTTCATCACCAAAGGGGGCTCGGACAGGAAGCTTGCCATGGCTGTGAATGCAACCAAACGACGTATGTTCTCATACCTACCTTGAACTACATAATAAAGGGTTGAATCCTGAGCTGTTAAAACCCACTTGGGTGGTCAAGGGGACTTAGCAAGCATACCTATAAACCCCATAAGCCATGTAATGTAATAACACCAGGCATCCCCATCATTAACCCACACACTAAGCTCTGAACCCTTGACTTTGAATAAAGCAGTACCTTCCGCTTTTTTCCATTATTAGCCCACTTACTACTTCCAATGACCCTGCAAGTAACCCCCCCCCCGCCCCCAAATTTTGCCGCAGCTCCGCGAAGGCAAGCGACTGTGCAAAGAAAGTCGAACTTGTCGGAAGACGAGTAAACGCACCGCAGGTTAGGTGCTCCGGCCCTGAGGATTAAGGTGTGAACAAGGGCTCCTATGCAGTTCCTTTTGAGGTTTGTTATGTTTTTGGGTAAGGAGTTATTGTATTCTACTCGGAAGAGAACTACATAGGATGCCTTGGGTGGGGCTGAGCTTCAAGGTGTAGGGGGTTTTGGGGTTGTAGGGTTCAGCTTTTCAGGGAGGATTAAGGTCCTTCGGGGCTTACTCGCGTTAGGGCAATGCCGTGGCTTCGGTACAAGTAGGGCTTACAGTGATGAGTATTCCCCAAAAAGCCCAGATACCTATATATTGGGTTCGTGTCCTTAAGTCCCTATAAAAATCTATACTATCTATAACCCAAAGACCTACTATATGGGTACCTGGGCTTGTAGGGATTGGTGACTGCATGTTAGGGATCCTTTTGAGGGCTGTGGATAATGCGTGCCCCGCCCCTGATGGCCTTAATGATTGGCATGTTTGTTGCTGATCACGCTTCAATGCTATGGGGTGGTTTAATCTCTTGGTGCCGGTGAAAGTGCAGGGCCTTAATTCAAGCAAGCACGCCAATCAGAATTAATAGAAGACTAATCGAATCGTTCCTAGTTCTCCGTTGCTTCAATTGGTCCAATCAGCGCCACCCGTCGAAACGCATTTGAATGAGTTCGGGGTAGTTATTAATAGGCTGAGGAGAAGCAAGCAAAGTCTGAGACTGCATGAATGTCTACAAGACTCAGTCTAGCATCGCCAACTTGTGTAGGAGAACCTCCCTAAAACAAAAAACAAAATTATCCCACTATAGCCCCTATATATGTCAAAATTACTATGTATAGTAGTTTCCAATTTATTTTCCATGATCCCAACATAACCCCTATACAACCCCTATGCAACAACCCCAATATGGGCAAGTGAATGAGCAACCAGGGGTGGGTTGAACTCTAAACTGGCTGACGCCAGCATCAGAAACCCCAAACCTTTAAGGATATTGTAGTTTCCATTGTCTTTTCCATTACCTCTATATAACCCCAATATATACACTATATTATATAACCCCTCAATTTCAAGCCATGCCAGGGTTTCCAGGGGTTGGGGTCTGTTTGTTGAGTTTGCAAGCCTTGGTAGCATGTTTGGGTCTACACCGGCGTCCCCTACACCCCGGGTTTAGGGTTTAGGGTATAGGGTTTAGGGTTGCCAAGGAGTGAAAGCTCCATGGTGATCGTGCGCTGTGTTGCTGCAACCCTCTTTCGCAGCTTCGACAAGTTCGGGCGTATGGAGCCCTGGCCGCGATTCCGGAGTTTGGTGATTTTCCAGCACACTATCCTCCCAACTCACATGACACTGGTCTTTGTTGCACGTAAGTCTGAAGGAGTATGGAGGAGTGTAATCCATGAGAACCCCTATAGAGTTCACCTTCTCGTGATCCCCAAATATCCCCACATTCCCTATTTGCAAGTCTCCGGAAATCCCCCCATATGAGTAGAAACCCGTAGGGCCAGCGATGACATGGACGCATATAGAGATTCCTTGAGGGAATTCGATTTAAGATTCACATGGGGTTTTCAAGACCGTGGATCCAACATGCGACCCGAGTAGAAAGCACTAATGTAGATCCGTAATTGATAAGCCCCCTCCCCTTAATAGCGATTATAATAGCGATCCGAATACCCTAAAGCCTAGACCCTTAAAAGGAAGGGGTTTAGTAATGATCACTGGTCTACATTACTCACGCAGTGAGCTCGTTTTACTTTTTATACCAGCCTTGATTGATGTGAGGTCTATTCCAGATATAGTCCCCCTTATGTAGATAGAAAATAGGGTATATAGGGATCCTATATGCCCAAAGCCATATTCTATCTACTGAACGGGGACTATAAGGTTTTTTAGGTTGAGCTCTTTTGGCTTTGTGGGTTTCGCTTCTTAGGACGTGCAAGCCCTTCACTTCCCTGATCAAAAAAACCTATGAGGACCCATTTGCCACTGTGGACTGGTACTATGCAGATGGCAGCTCTGTGACGGTGGCTGGGCTATCCTGAGATTTGGGGCTTTGTGCGTAGGGTTTAGGATGTACTACATCCTGCATACATCCCATTACCCTAAACCCTACAGAAGGGTTTAGGATTTAGTGTCTAGAGTTTTATGGTTTGAAAATTAGGGATAATTTTCTGAGGCTCCCTATAATCAGCACAATAGTTTCTTGTTTCTGGACACTACAAAATAGGATTCAGGATATTAAGGAATAAAGGGAAAGACAGATGGATCTTGATTTCTTGGTGCAGTTTCGCTGCAGACTATCATGTAAGAGACAACCCAGGTGGGAAGAACGAAGTCTGCCTGGGGCCAGCACATGAACCCCGAGTGGGAGCATTGCTGCAGGGCAGTGCGGTACAGTGGCTCAGGCGGTGGCGACAAAGCGCTTTAGCTGAATGGGTTGGCTAGAGACAAGAGTTACACAGAATAGGGTAACCCTAAACCCTAAACTACTCTACTTGTCCCTCTTCCTAGGTCTAGGGGCTTCTACTGTGACTGACGCGCAGAAGCTTCCCTGAGTCGTCAGAGGTTTAGGGTTCAGGGCACCCGTTTGCTGTTCAGAAAGCAGATATGTTGGGGGTGCAAGAGTTTGGGGTCGCAGGTTTGTCCTATGCATACTGGTTTTGGAGGTTTCGGGGTTTGGGTTGCAAGAGTTTCGTAGGTTTGTGGCGCGTTGGGGGTCCCTTGCATACTGGTTGCACAGCCCCTTCATCATTCCCATGTTATTCGGAAAATCTCACGGGGAGCCCATGATCTCTTCGTAATTCCCATGTATCCCGTAGGGCTTTGAGACGTCCCCATCTGGCTTATATGTGATTTTCTGGGACTCGTCGCCTAGGTAGGGAGGCCCAAGTTATAACAGGGTAATATCCTATGGCCTCTTTCACGAGCAATTTTGGATAACTGTATAGTGGTTCGTTTGATGCTTACCTCACTTTCAACCCTATAAAAGACTCTACAATGCCACTTTACACGTCATGTTCCATGGTATTCAGGAACGCCCTATACAATTGCTATATAATCCTTAGCCAACTTACATGTGTATATATGTATATATACACATAGATAAACACATAAACATACATCTCTCTCTATACATACATATGCGTAATATACAGCTAGCAAGCAAACAAGCTACCTACCTACCTACCTACCTACCTACCTACCTACATCCTACTACACCAGAAAGCTAGAACCTGCCTGGGGCAGTCCAGGTGCGCTTCCAGGTCCTTGAGGAAAACTTTGGCGGCCTTGGCAAGCCAACCTTCTGTGGCTGGGCTCAGGTTACACAGGGATAAATACGTGAATAAGATGAATTAGATAAACAACCAGATAATTAGATGAAATACAAAGTAGCTAAGTAAGAATACATGCTATAGTAAGATCATGCAGGATTTTTAGTATCATCCCTAAACCCTGAACCCCTAACCACCCTGAACCCCTAGACCCCTAGACGCCTCGACCCTAAACCCCAAACCCTAAACCCTAAAACTCCTAAACCCCTAAACCCTAACCCCCCAAAACCCTAAACCCCTAAACCCTAAACGCCCAAATCCGGTATTGAAGGGGTGGATAAGCTCGGACAGTCCTGAGGCTGGCAAGCTTTGTTTGAAGAAGAGCCTTCCCCCTTAAGTAGATAGAATATGGCTTCGGGTATAAGATCCCCATAAACCCCCCCTCCCCAAATTCTATCTACTTAAGGGGGACTATAGAGTCCAGCCCAGGCTAGGGAAAAAGATTTGGGTTTAGGGTTATAGGTTTAAGATTTATTTCCATTACGTAGTGTTTGGTCGGCGGGTTTTTCGTGTTGATTTTTGTGTTTTGTTTTTTTTTTGATTTTTTTGGAATTAAGGAAATTTTGGGGAACCCTCAGCAATGGTAAGTTTACATGGGCTTGAGGGTTTAGGGTTTAGGTCGTAGGTGAAACGCCCAGAAGAAGGTTGAAAGGAAGCCTGCTCAACGCCCCCTCCTGGTGCTTTTTCCAAGATTCCCAAGGGCCTCACCCAGAGGGTCCATGTACCCAATAATTAGGTACTTGGGTTTTGGGTAATGGTAATTTTAGTACAGGTTTTGGGTAAGTATATGATTATTAGGTACTTGGACCCTTAGGGTCAGAACCCAAACTAACACGGGATCCCCTACTAAGAGGACAGTAGTCTAGACAGTGCCCTGGTAGTTTGGGGTCGGGTGCATGCTTCGACTAAGTGAGGCCACATCAGCCCAAACGTGATGGCTCTGGACACCTTCCCACTACTGCTGCTGCCTTTATGCGTGCATTCAAGCAAGTCTTGTTGAAACTGTGCATTCGTCCTTGATCATTATCGCGGCTGGTTGTCCACACTTCAGGTCTTCGTCATCAACTCAAAACTGCACCCAACCTGTCCCAAACCCACTGAGCACGAATTCTACTCTAAGAATACCCAGGTGGGGAACAGACGGTCGACGTGGACATGCTCGTGGCTGGGGCACGCATGGCGGCTCATCAGAATTTCAGCGTTTCGGGCGTTGCTTTTCCGTCTAAGTGCCGGGCTTTGGCCCAAGCCTGGTCATACAGTAACGCGCTTTGTTCTGTCCTATTCCCGCCTTGTTTTGCAAATATACTTACCTGCAAGGTCTTTCATGACGTCCACGAGGATCATAGCAACAAGGTCCAGAAACTTGAGCGCCTCTGGTTGCTCAGCGAGCTTGCCCCAGGAAGTTTCGCAAAATTGTTCCTCTGAAGTCTCCAACGCGCGCCCCCTCTACACTAGAATTTCTAAAGGGGCATACTTATCTTCAGCAACCCCATACCCCAAAATCCTAGAGCCTCAAGGGCATTTCGAGAAGGGATGCAGCCCCAAATGCCAGATTCCTGACTATGGCGACCCCTAAACAACAGGAACGCCGCCTATTTTTGGAAACCCCCAGCTACAAACATCATCCCAATTCCAGTTTCCATACGAGTTTCCATTTTCGTGTCACTTTGATTCTGCATTACTTGGGGGCAGAATCCCCCACATCCTTCCCGTGAGCATGAGGTTGGTGCTGGCCTGATGCGGACGCAGCCGCAACCCATCGAGCTTTACAAGAAGGGTGAGAAAACTGGCACGATCCTGGTCCAGCTGGTGACTAGGTTGGCTTCTGGAGGCTTAGGGAGGACTAAGCTGGCTTCTAGGTGAGGGGATCCCGTGGGTTCGATCCTCTGGGCTTATAAGCTTTTTTTTGGCATTCACCTGTGAGCAGTGATGTTAACGTCTTTTCGGGAAGTTCAGCGAGGAGCACGAGCAGACTGCCCATGCTTGGTGTCTAGAACGCATGAGTGTAAGGGTGTTTGCCACCCAGACGGTTTTTTTTAGAAGGTCTCACAGCTTGAGGCCGCGTTGGTGGCGCATAGCTGTGTGAGCAAGGCACCGAGCATGCCTAGGGTCATGATCATTCTTTGCTGTCGTCTCCAAAAGTCAGGGCACCTTTCTTTGGAGACAACATAGGGCGCTGTCTAGCGCATATAGCCTTAAACAAGAGATCTTCGCCATCTTTCAACCACGCAATCCGTGCTACTTACACATAGTTGCAGGTTTGTAGTTAGTGGTGGAGCGAATGACAAGCTTCGATGTCAGCTGCATCAATCACAGCCGTACACACAGGATGGAGTGATGATGATTCGTGACCACGCTAGTGAGGGTCAAAGAGGAGGGAATCGTAGTAGTGAGGGTAGCGTGAAGATTCAAGGTCTTGCTGGACAACAAGCGGGTCCATGAATAGCGGGGCCCAACGCCAAGGGGTCCCTGATTTTCGGAAGCCCTAATCCCGGAACCCCATGCACCCTTTTAGAACCCTATGTCCCCTTACACATTCAGGAGCAAGGCGTGATATACATGGCTCACACAGGGCTTCTCAAGCCAAGGTGATCCACCTGGAGAATGCGACATCTCCCAAGCAGCTGCATGACCACATCAAGCTTTATACCGAGATGTGGCGCTTGCCCGTACGAATAAGGGTACGAGACGCCCCAAAAGGTTGTAAATCTAATTTGGGGAACCCCCCTCCAAACGGGTCCCTTATTGTTTGAAGCACCCATATGGAGCATGCGGTTCCGAGGGGCTTGAGTTCGCACAGGGTCTAGCCATGAGTTCAGGGTTTAGGGTTTAGGGAAAGGGATGGGTAGACTGTTCATCGGTTTCATAGGCAAGCAAGTCTCAAGAATGCGTCTTTTTTGTGGTGATGCCTTACCTGAAGAGGTAGTTCCTTAGATAGGGGGACCACAATATAGACCCTAATATACTATTCCTTATTATGGGGACCCCACAATGGTATTCCTAATTTTGGGAAACCCTAAACCCCATGTATCCCTATAATACCCCTAAAATAACCCTATAATACCCCTACAATAACCTTAAATTAGCCCTATATCCGTAGGATTTACAGGGCTCCCTTGTTCTTGCTCCTTTGCCACGGTTAAGCGGGCCACATGAGGTCTGACTTCACCTTGGCGGACGCAAGCAAATTTGTGCCTGGGTATATGGGGGATATATAGGGGTTATACAGGGGATATACGCAGGTTGTATAGGGGATATAGAGAGGTTATACGGTTATATAGGGGACATGTTGGGGATATATTGATATAATGGAAAAGGAAACGGACACTACTATTTAAGGTTGGGCGTTTGGGTTGTGCAGCTTTTTTGTTCGTCACTGGGGTCCTGGTCTTGATGTAGCAGCCACTTCAGCCTGCCAAATTCGCATGTTCTTTCCGGGTTGAGTGCGGCTTTGCCATGATGTTGGTTTGCGATTCGGCTGCTGCAGCTACGGTTACCACCGATACCACTAGAATAGGAGCAGCACCGCAACGGCAGCCACATCTTCAGCAACATTGTTTTGGTGCAAACCATTTCCTCATGTGGTATAGGACTTTCCATCAGAAGCTACGCACGTGAACGTTTACGGATATGAAGTCATGAGCATGTTCAAATTCAACGTTAGAGAAAAGGATCAGTCCTGCGCTCTGAGGTGTCGCCCGTGAAGCGGATCGGGGTGTCCGGCGGAACTGCACCATTTTTCAGCCTGCTGCTCAAGGATCGCGCTGCCATGAGCGTACCTTCAAGTTTACCAATCAGCCAGGGGTCTCTCAAATGCCAGGCCCTTAGCCCAAAAAAAGGCATACTGGATTCCCTTTTGGACAGTAAACTTCAATTTTCTGGTATCACATTTGTGAAGCCAAAACGTCGGAGACAAAAAAAGTGGCAAATGCCAAATCCTACACTTCCACCCCAGCCCTCCTACAGCCCTCTTCATCCCTATAATCTGGAACAGAGCGCGCACAGCAATACCGTGCAGTTTTTACAGAATACTTGTACGGTCTTCAGATAGTTTCTATGTATCCTATGCTTTGACAGGGGAACCCTTTTTTGGGAGATAGTCACTGAACAGGAGACTGATGGTCAGCGCTACGGTGATTACTGGATTGGCAAAGACCTCTCCCGCGCCATGGATGAGGTGTCGAGCCTTTGGCGAGGGAGTCTGATCTACTTCAAGCACTCATGTTTGGGAAAGAAAGGGCTGAGTACATGTTGAGAAGGAGGTGCAAAACAAGAGAAGATCTTATATCATAAGCCGTAAAAAACATCAATCCTTAAACTTGCCCGAACCAAACCGTTTCAGTCTAAACCCTAGACAGAAGCGACGTCTACGTACATCCGTACATCTACACCGCCATGTCAACCCCCCTCACCCCTCATTTGCCTAGATCCCATCTCTTAACCTGCACCAGGTTCAGTTCTACGAGAAGTGTTTGAAGTTAGCAAGAAGCTCGACGGAGGAGATGCGGGCGTTTCTTGGTGTTCCATGGAGCAGGTAAAAGCTCTCCCCATTGGGGTGGAGGAGAAGGCTATGGGCCCGGCTGTGGGCCAATTGCGGGATTGCCACAGGGGCTTTATGATCAAGAGCCGAGTGGGGTACAGCTCAACTTATAGCCAGGTAATACAATATCCCATAGTCTCTCCTCATTACTCTTGTTCGTTGGCACAAGTTGCTTGCAATATATGAGTATGTAGGTCAAGAGCCAAAGCTGTAAGATTCCAATTTTCTCACGCAACCAGAGGATTAGGGTTTAGGGTTTAGGGTGAATTCTCCGTGTTGTGTACACCCGGACGCAATGGTGTGACCCCCAAACCCTTGAATGCTACTTCATCATCCATACAGCAAACCCTAGACCCCACAACCTGATACCTGAACCCCCCCACAAGCCCCCCCAAATCCCAGACCCTGAACCCTCAACACAAAACCCAGATCATTACTCCCACCCCAGAACTTACTTCTGCCCTTAGCCCTAAATCGTAGTTTCCATTTTCTTTTCCATGACCTTATATATGTATCCCCTATATAATCCCTGTAATCCCTTAACTCAAAACCTTGAACCAGCCAGCTCACCCTCGCCCCCCTAAACCCTAAACCCTAAACTTTGGGATTTAGGGTTTAGGGCCCCAAAGAAAGCCAAGGCTCCAGCTTTTCATGTTCGAGTACGCGGGCGTCCTGGAGACCACGGCCGAGGGTGAGGAGGGGTCGTATTCCAATACAACTCAATGCCAAGAAGCCGGCTTAGGGGTGTGTCTATCCAAATATATATATATATATGTGTATATATGTATGTGTATGGTCATGATATGGATATTGGGTTCAGGGATGGGCAATACATCAGGAGTGCAATAGAAAATAGAACAAGGACTGGAAACTGGATTTGGATAGGGCTACACGAGCTTGAACAGTTTTTTTCTTTTCGTAAACCCCCTGCCAGCCCCCTAGGAATGAATATTCCCTGTAGAATACACCTGTGCCATATGGGAAGAGGTGCTAGTAGGAAGGCGGGGATCCCAATACACGGTCATATGGGGTCCGGAATAGTTGAGCAAATTTCTTCTCGGGTAGTCCCGAACAAAATATTTTCTAAACACATATTTTTTGGAAGAATACATCAAGCCAATTCTAAATATTTAGGTCTTTAAAGCAGGATGCTCACCTCAGCTCAGTCGAATGTATATAGGGTGCCTGATGGATCTTCTTGTGAGTGCATTCATGGGGTGTCCATTTGGGTAGACCACACAGTTACATCCCATAGGATTTAGGGTTTAGGGTTTAGGGCTAGGTATCTCGTGGGGTTCACATAAGAAGATCGCAGTTGTCCGCCTTGGCTTTGTACAAAGAATTCTGATGCGCCCCGCATGCGGGCTTTTTTCGGATGCATGGGTTGGCAAGCGGGGTCATGACTACAAGTATCCCCACTTTGGTAGTTTAAGGTTAAGGTTCATAGCTACAGTCAGTCTACTTACAACTCCTGCCCATGACTCTCCAGGACAGAGGGGTTCTGTAGGGCTACGATGGGAACACATAGGGACTTGGGCTTTGGGTTTATGGTCCTGCTGTCTCTGGAAATCCTGATAACGGGACCATAATGGGGGTTGATCTAAAGGTGCTCCGGGAACATGAAAATGGGTTCCTGTAGGTCTAATTGTAGAGCAAAATGTACGGGAAATCATTGTCCCCAATGGCCATGTTCTGAACGGGGATTTGGATCAACTACCATATGCTAGATGGCCAGGGTTCCGTGTATCGATGCTCATGTGGTTGACTGAGCAAAGCCTGAACCCCATATTGCCCACCTTCCGCAAGCATTTTCCCGCTGCCACCCTCAATCAAGTTTTGTAAAGCTCCACCCTTCCCAAACCGCTTGCCGTAAGCAAACATGGAACTCAACAAAAGGATCCATAAGGTCGAGGCTAAGACCCTGAAGACCTGGAATACGCCTGACATGAGTTAAGTGTGGTTCAAGAATCCCTAAAATCTTATGACCTTGTAACATCTCCTCTGTTTTGAGTAAGGTTGGCAGTTTCAACTGGGGCACTGTAGTCCACAGTCGCCATGCAACGTTGAGTAGAAGAATCTATTCTCATTTCAGTATGCTTTTATCACAGGAGAACATAATCTTACTGCCTTCAGCCAGCCAAAAAACGATATGCCCGATATACATAAGCCTTAAACCGTTTTTTACAGGACACAACGGTACCTTATTGCACGTGTAAGGCCTAGGTAGCGAGGAACCGACCCAAGCTCTAATCAGATAACATCCTACAGTCACAGTTACTATGGTTAATAACATGAGTGTGTATCTATGTACCCATCTAGCTCCAAACTCTATAAAGACCGTTATAGTCGCCTTTTCATTTCATGTTCCATTCTCTTTTCCTATTCTCCATCATGGGATAACACCTAAACCCTGCATATCCCTATATACCTTGATATATCGACGCTTTTCATAGTTTGCCTACCTACCCGGGTCATGTTATGTAGTCCTTTTTTGCACATATTATAACCCCTTCCCAAAATAGAAGACAAATCCAGCAAGTAACCACATAGGAGCCCTTGGGTAGTTGAAGACACGTGCCACATCTCATCTTGGGATCCTGAGAGGAGAGCGAAGGAGGCGACCTGCAGCTGCTGGCTGGGGGGCCCGGGGGGAGGTAAGAACGTGTTGAGGGCTTATAGTCCCCCTTAAGTAGATAGAACATAGGGGTTATAGG